TACCCTAAAGATAAAAAAAAACTTAATTGAAGAAAGCAAAACAGTTAATTTTGAGAATTATCTCTTCATTTTTACACCTCCACATCAAAGGAACCGAATTACTAAAATTGAGAATGGAAATGGGGAATGTGTCAAAGAGACAACAACCCGACCAAAGAGCAGAAAACAGCCAAAGGCCACCAATGGGTCTTCAACACAGCGAGAAAATCCCGTACCCGGAGGCGGGCTTCAGCTGGCCCCTAAACACAAATGTGTACTAGTTCAATGAAAATGGACATCACACTAAACTCCAAAACATATAAATGAACTAAAATTAAAAAACATACAAGACTAACAAAGGCCAGAGGCTCCTGACTTGGGACAGGCGCAAAAATGCGGCAGGGTTAAACATTTTTTGTGGGATCTCATTTAACCCTCCCCCTCATAATACCTCTAGCCAATGGAGAATAAACAAACGCACAGCAATATGCACAGTAAAACTCAGTTTAAAAGAAGTCGGAGTCCGTTGTCAGAATAGGAAACAAAAGAAACTAAGCAAAATGACAGTGACACATAAATAAACAAAGGACTACTACCAAACTGACATGCCAGCTCTAGACCTCAATCAAACTGATTGAAAGATTATGTCTTCATTATAGTTAACGATGGTAATTAGTTACATGTTCATTGTATAAAAATGTCCTTTAGCCTTAATGTAAATCTATTGTATTTGTATTGCATGACACCACCCCCATGGATCTGCCTCTGAGGTTCAGGTGAAGGGCCTACAATCCATTGGTTGTCTTAGATTGATGTCTGACATGTTCCATTTCTTGCTGTAGTATAGATGAGATCTCTTGTTTTTTTTTTTTTATTAGCCCATGTTTTTTTGTCCTATACGGTGTGGGATTTGCCCATTGTTGAATGTCGTACAGTAAATGTTTAAAAAAAAAATTCTATCAAATTGGCATTCGTACGCGTCTATCCGTATGCTCAGCCAGTGATATAGATCTTCATTTGTCGAGCAATTGTACTTTCCTACCAATTTACACTTTCATATAGATAACGAAACTTCTTACATGACTGTACAAAATACCTCCAAGAGTATTTCAACAATACAACGGATATTATATGTTGCTTTATGCATGCTATGGTGGTAAATTATTTTTTTAAACATGTATATTGGTTAAAAACATATGAAAGCATACTTTAATGTGTATGCAAAATTCATTTGACAAATACAATATTGTCTCAACAAATCTTACAGTATAAAAAAGTGTAATGATAACGTCAACCGTACTCTATATGAAAATAAAGACTCGTTAAAACATGCATTTTTTTGTTTCTAGATAAAACATAAACTTACAATCTTTAATAGTTTGTTAAGTTTAAACAATGATATTTCAAAATGTATGTTTTAAAAAATATGAGGCATGAGAAACTTAAAATTTTTAATAAGCATGCTTTGATCAGTGGTAAGGTCATGGGTTTTTTAATGTGTGCCTATAAAAAATATCACATATTTAAAAACCTTGCAGTAAATAATGAGTAATACGGCTAAGAATATTATTGAAGCAAAATATCCGAAGAATAAATATTGGACTTTCTTTAAAAGTGTAAATTCTCCTCTGTCTAAACTCAGTGGTACATGGTTTGTTTGCTTCAAATGCGTCAACGGCAGGATTCATTTTTATTGGGTTATACAGGGTGATTTAGGACAAAATAATTTACTAAGATATGAATATAAAGATACTGCTTTGAACTGTATTGACAGGCTGAGTTTGATATTGAATGTTCTATCTTACAAGGAAACAGTCTGCAGAAAGACATGTATGTCACCACATTTGGCCATGGTATTTTGACTCGGATCCAAACTTTCCACTTACTTATGAATGACATTTCTTTGTGCAAATACCAATTTTGACCAAATCTGACAGTAAATCTAGGCCTGCACTTGAGGCAAGCATTCTACCTGAAGACTACTGAGGCAGAGCTTTTTCTTTGACTGTTGACTTAATAATATGCAGTAAATGCTCATATGATGAAAAAGATTTTCATTACTGCTTAAATTTTGGTTTTATTTCAATTGTTGCCAGATTCTATAAAACTTGGTATTTAATTTGAATCCGATTTATAGAGCCTCATTCAGCACTTTGATTTAACTTTCTAAATAGAATCATCTTATCTGCTGTGTTTGACTTTCAATATATAGAGTTGAGGATTAAGGATTGTATGTACATTTACATTGGTTCTATCCACAGGAAATGAGTAATGTGATTTAAGAGGGTGTGGATGGGGTTTACAGAATAGAGAATAATGGACAAAAATTATAAAGAATAGAGAAAAATGGACCCAAAATATAAAGAATAGAGATAATGAGGTGCTAAAATACAAAGAACAGAGAATAATGGGCAAAAAGTATACAGAAAAAAGAAAAATGGCCTAAAAAATTAAAGAATACAGAAATAAAGGACACCATATCCAGACCCTCATTTCAACTTTAAGTGACATATCTGTCTTTGTTGGTTGACACCTTTATATTTTGAAATGAATTGCCAATTACATAATTGATTTTTATATTAAAGAAAATATAAAATTTAAACTTTTGTTATGATTTTGAAGTATACACAGACTGTTCCTTTTAAAATTGATGACAATTTATTAAAAGAAATTACATGTATTGATTTGAAATGAGAAAATCATAAAAGATTTTTATTTACTCTAAAGAGATTTAAAATTTAAAATATATTAAATTTACATTTTGTCATGACACATGTTTGTTACATAATACTTAAGTATATGATCAAAATCTTAGCAAATTTCGATAAAATATACGACCTCATGAAGTGCAATTCACTCTACACCCTTAAAAAATCAAGAAAACTTAGTTTTTTAGGTATTTCTTAGAATTAAAAGTTTGAAAATTAGAACATAGTGCTGAATTCAAATCCCTTAGTGACTTATGACATATTTAGAGTAGATTTTCCGTGTAATTGCCACATCTTCGTAATTTCTGATTTAATATATGTACACAATACAATTGTTCAATATCAAGTAGAAAAAGATAGAAAAAAAAATAAAAATAAGATTTACAACTTGTTTGCTCTAGTTTTGTTGTAAGAGCAAACAGGATAGACTGTTATATCTTTTGTCCAGCACCTGACAGGCATATAAGAGACTGCCTTCTACTAAGAAAAAAAAATACCAATGTGGAGCCATTAAAACTTCAGATAAAAAAAGGACTATCAATAATTTCCACAAGTACTTAAGAACCCAGATAGTTGAAGACTTGATCATTATTTCATTAGACTCACTAAGATATAATAACAATTACTGCTTAATATTTATTATACAAGCTAACCACATAAACCAAAAATCTACACTAATTACAAACATATTAAATATATTTTAAGCAATGTGAAATAGAAATCCCCCCCTCAGGTCCTATTTTAGAAATATGCAGTAAAATATTATGAATGCTTAAACATAAATCTTTCGGATTTTTTAATCCCACACATTGAAAACTTATTGTAACAATCAGGTTTAAGTTCACACAGTCTTAACATGTAATGCTAAATAGAACTATTTTGTACATGTACAGAAAAACCACAAAACATTGATATTTTCATGCATCAATACTCAGAAATCAGTGAGATGTAGCATGGTTACCAATGAGACAACTCATAATCCACCAGATACCAAAGAACCAGGATGTATATTTTTTTAGGTCAATGTAAGACCAACAATGAACAAAATCAATACCTAGTAACCTATAAAAGGCTTTGTCATGATAAAAATGTGGAACACTTCAATGAAAAAAACCAACCGCTTGAATATGCTAAAAACAATGAACAAATATATATAAGATTTTTTTACTGCTAAAAATGTTTTAGTGAAATTCATATTATTGCAGTTATACTGAAATACTCAATTTGCTTCTTACCATTGATTGCTACCTTTAAGTCATAAGTAACGTAACACTTGCGCAATTATATAGACATAAAGGTTTAAGTATGGAAAATTATAAAAAAAGGTTCGGTACTTTTGGAGAACATAGAAGACAACAGCCATTAATTTATTCTCAAGTCCATATAAATCTATCACTACATGAAAATGTGAATTTTACTCTGGTCAATAAAGAGAGAAACAGATTTCTATTTTTACAACTTTGTTGCCCTACTTGATTTAAGACAGTTATATATCTTCTATGTCCAGCACCTGACAGGCATAATCATAGAAGAACAGTTCTAGAACACTTACATTATAGAACCTGAAATCAAGAACAAATAGTGTTCTAGAATCTGAAATCAAGAACAAATAGTGTTCTAGAACCTGAAATCAAGAACAAATAGTGTTCTAGAACCTGAAATCAAGAACAAATAGTGTTCTAGAATCTGAAATCAAGAACAAATAGTGTTCTAGAACCTGAAATCAAGAGCAAATAGTTTTCTAGAACCTGAAATCAAGAACAAATAGTGTTCTAGAACCTGAAATCAAGAACAAATAGTGTTCTAGAATCTGAAATCAAGAACAGATTGTGTTCTAGAACCTGAAATCAAGAACAAATAGTGTTCTAAAACTAATGTTCAAGAACTTTCTTAGTGATTCAAGAACCGTTCTTGATGTTCTAGAAAAGTTCTACAAAGTTCAAGAACTAAAAACCTGTTCTAGAACATCTTTCGCAGGGGTATGAGAGACAATCATCCACTTCTGGTTTTGGAATCTTTTATAAACATGTTGAAACATTAAAATTAACTGTCTGACTCATTGCTTATATCTATCCTGTTTAGACAGCAGTTAACAATTTTATATCCCTATATTTCACACTTTTAAAATGATTTACCGGAGATAGAACACTTTTATGATGAATTACAGTTATACTTTTATATTTCATGCATTTAATTGTTATGATGCATTTCACTTTAATATGATAAAATCTTTCTTTATTTATAGTACTGTTTGAAGATTCACTTGTGCATAAAACTTAATGACTTTTAAACAGTTATATGTTTCCTTTGCAGATAGCAGAAAATGGAAAGGCAGAGAATTGTAAACAGATTCAAACAGGAGATTTTTTACTAGGTGTTAATGGTATAAAATGCGTGGCTCAGAATGAAGCTGTGGAACTCATTAAAGGAGCATTCAGGACTCTTACTCTCACAATTTGGAGGTAAGATTTTACAGTAACTACATATATCAGTCAGCTGTAAAGCTAATCAAATGAACATCCAGAAATCTTACTCTCACAGTTTGGAGGTTATTATGGTGGTGTAAATGGTCACATACTGAAGTGTAGAACTCATAGAAAATCATTAAGGTATCATTTGTGACTTAATAATAGAAATAAATGATTGCTTACTTAGGGCTTAGAACTGAGTGAAGGAGCATTCTGCACTTTCCCCTTGCAATTTGAAAGCTAAGTCTTGTAGTAAATAAGGAGCATTAAGAATCCTTATTATTTAGACAAAATGGAGGCAATCTGGGAGTTAATCATCTTCGCTAGCCAAGGGTAAAATGATTGGACCTGCTCCTCTTCACCCTTGGCAGATTAAGTCAGAATTTGGAATCATTGATGTAATGATTTTCATTGGTTGCAGTTGTAACTAGCTGCATCCAATGAAAAATGTCTTTGAGATGATCATGTGTAAATGTAGAAAATGTAAATAAAAAGTTTGCCATATATGCAAAATGTCTTTACCCCCAAAGTCAGTGTGGGCGTCACTTCTATCAGTTGCTAGATGTCACTATGCTGTATGCACACATACTATCTTAATCTGCCCAGGGTAAAGAGGAAGGGGTCATAACCCTTTTCTAGCCATGATGGGAGTTAATTAGAAGCCACAACATGCAGTTTTATATCTTACCAAATAAACTTTTATGTGTTACATATTTGTTTTTCGTTCATTTTTTGTACATAAATTAGGCCGTTAGTTTTCTCGTTTGAATTATTTTACATTGTCATTTCGGGGCCTTATATAGCTGACTGTGCGGTATGGGCTTTGCTCATTGTTGAAGGCCGTACGGTGACCTATATTGTCTCTTGTGGAGAGTTGTCTCATTGGCAATCATATCACATCTTTTTTATATTTGATACGTTTTGATTTGTAGTTTAATAATTTATGGAGAAATTGATCACTGAATAGATTACTTAAACTCATAATAGATATCAAAGGTACATTTAGAACGATGTTCATGAGGACATTCTACAACAAAGGCTTTCATTAAAAAATATGTCTGTGTTTTCATCTTCAAATAGAGGGTTAGCAGATTTTATGCATACTCTATCCTATCGATGAAATGTCTTTTATGATTTATATTAATAAATATAGGTACCAAACTAAAGAATTGCATGATACACTTATATATAGCAGTTGAAAGGGAAATATATAATGATTTAATGGACAGTTTAGAGGGGCGGTAGGAGGGGTGTCATCCCAAATTCTCCAAAAATTAAATCATTCTTTCCTGTGGATCCCGAAAAATTAATCATGGATTCCAGAGTCCTGAGAGGTGAAAATTCCGAATTCCTTCTAAAATATAGGCCCTGAATCATGAATTCCAACAAAAAAAAAAGACCCAATCCAGACGTCCAGAAAGATGTCATTCTGCCCCTTAGTGTACAAGATCTATGAATGCATTGAATTATGTGTTCATGAATTGATTATAGTAAGCAAACAACACTAAATATTGTAGTTGTAAAGATGTCATCAGGGACTTTCTGTAATTAGTAAATGCAACTACTGTAACATTGGAAAATACATAAAACCTTCCAGTAGTCCTATACAATAAGGTATGGGAGACAACTCTATTTGACTTGTAAAATTATGAGAAAGAAACACAGTTTCTTTTTTTTATTTGAAAACCTATCACTAATTCAATGATATTTTACATATTTGATGGTTTTGTATCTAGAACATTATAAATATATATGTTTTTCAATTGTAGAAAATATAGAACATTTAATTTCGATTTTTTATAGTATAATGAATGCAATGCATATTTACTATAACCAATAATAAATACTATAGCAAGTAGAGTCCATACAGTATATTTTGCACAAGAGTCTTGCTATCTATCTTTTATTAAAATGTTGCATGTTTGTTTAACTTTGTAAAAGGTTATGTTCAAGTATTCAATAAACCATGTGTTTAAGAGAGTAGAGACCACTGCACATCAGTCAAAATCTCATAGTGAATTGCTTGTACCTTGTCAGAATAGGAAAGCTTCACCCTATTGAAGTTCACCTCAGTAACAATTTTATTGCCATTGACACAAAAAAGTGTTTGTGACAACGAAACAATTAACTAAAGCAATGAAAAGATATTTCTATTGATAATAAATGTATACATGCAAAAGGTCCAAAGTTCAAGTGAAAATGCATGTTTTGGAGTTTAACTGATTTCTTTAATGTTTGTACCCTTGTTTGCTAAAATTTATTCTTTACTAACACTTAACGTAAAGTTTTGACTGAATATTTATTCCTCTAGACAAATATAAAAAAAAAAATATGGCTGTTATGAAGTATTGTTTACATTAACAGAACACCTATTTCACTGCAATTTTATACAAAAATTTAAAGGGAGACAACTCTAATTTACCTGTTGAAAAGAAGTCTGATGAGAATTGTAAAAATAACAAACTTAAATCATCATAGATCAATATTTTTATGGGACATTGGTGTTTATATGTAATCACAAGAATTATTAAACCCAGACACTATTGGATCCTGACACGATTTCAATACATCCAATATAATTGAAAATGAATTAGGTTTTTCTTTATGTACACTATGTCTCAGTGAAGGCTAACAACTGCAATTTTCTCCAAAGTCAAGTTTGATACTATTGAAAAGATCAATTGAAAGGCATGATTTGAATATGAATAAAAATAATATTTAAAAGATTCACGTCTGTGTGACGGTCCCAGCGTCATATCCACATTAAAAAATCAAGCAATCAAAAGTTTATTGATATTAAATGGATAAGTTATGAATGTAAGAAAATGGGAGTTTAATTTTTGAGGAGAGACAATGGATATTTTCAAGGATGTTGATCCATGGGACGTCTTAAAAGCAAGAATTGCATTAAGGTAAGAAAAGCGGTAATAATTCATTTAATGGTGTGAAATATCAAATTTCGTTATTTTGTTTTGTCAAGACAAATCTAGTGTAGATTTTGATGATTATATAATGACAGTTACAGAAATGCATTTCCTGTCATTGAAAAAAGAAAAAAAGGGGGGAGGATTTTCTATTAGATAATTGTGAAAATTGATTATATAAGGTTGGAAATGCCTTTTGATGTTGGGCATTAAAAACCCATTTTTGCTGTCCATTATTGGATTTTCTAACATTTTATAGCTTTACTTCATGATGTGTTTTCTAGACTGATAACAAATTATTGTCACTTTTTGAAATGCTCAATATGAAATGCTCGTTGTAAAAACATACACGTATGGCAAATAAAAAAATTGTCAAAGTGAAAATCATTTTTGTAATACAGGCTGCTATCTGTCTACTGTAAGTTACAAATTGTTTTGATAACTGGACCACAGTTTGTGCCTTCATTAAGTTATTGCTATCTAGACTATGTTTATGAAAAAATAAGAAGACAAGACAACTTTTTTATGCCCCTGCCGTAGGGGGCATTAAGAGTTACCCTTGACTGTCCATCCTAAAGTCTTTCCGTCCTTCCGTCTTTCTATCTTTCTGTCTTTCCATCCATCCCATTTACGTTGCAATGCTTGAGCAGGGGCATTCTTTTCCTCCGACACATTATTCTTTTATTTATACATCATTAAATGTTATATTTAAACAATCAAATAAAAGCATAAAAAAGGGTAATTCTAAGATCTTATACCTTTTAAAATTTTGAGACAAATTTTTGTTAATTTCATGTCCTGATGAAATTTTGTGTCTTTAATATCCTTTGAGACATATTCAGCTTACTTGAATAATATTAACTGAAGCGATATATTTGACATACTATTAGACTTTTGATTGAAGAAAGTAGAACTATGAAAACCGTATCTGCAAAGTATACAACATAACAATCAGTGACCTAATTTCTTTCAACCCTTGATGTGTATGAGCCATTTTAAAATATCTCCAATAATAAAAAATTTGCTGATGAAAAATTTGAAAAAAAAAATCTATGAAATAGTGATGGAAAAATTGCGGCAACATTTTATTGTATTCTTATTTAGTGTAGATGGCATATGTACATCTTGATACGATTTCAAAGTTGGCTTATAGGGGAGAAGCATCAATCTTTCTGTGTATGTACTCATTTTTAATTCAAATTCTTGAGTTTCAAGGTTATACATGTATATATATATCCTGTTTTTGATTGGATTTTTGAATACTGTAAATTCAGAAATTATTGCGTGCATTTATTATTGCGATTTTTTAAAAATGGACAAAAATGCGAGATTAATTATTGCGATTTAAGGAAAATCTGCATACAGATATATGTATCAGATAACAAAATGCGAGTTCTTATTATTGCGATACTCACCCAGTCGCATTATTCGCATTAATAAAAACCTCGCAAAAATTTCTGAATTTACAGTATATATTTTTACCAATTTCAAGTTTTTTAACTTTATCTGATTTGTTGACCTAATGGTGTTTGCAAAATAATCACTGTTGGTTTGTGACTAGAAATGTCTTTGTTACAATTGTTTTAAAAATTCAAGGATATAAAGATTTTATTTCCTTCATTGATGGACAAACTCAAAAGTAGTATGGTAAATCCTTGATCTCCCCCTCCCTCATGCCTAAATAACCATAGTTCAATGGTTACTGCAGTTTCACTATTTTATGTTATAAAAATAAATTCCTGGGATGTCCACTTATGAGCAAAATCTTCTGTTGAAGGATGATGAATTATTCTTTCAGATGAAAGCAAGGTTATTAATTTTAACAATAAGTCATTCCAATCAATATACCTTACCTGAGACAGATGAACAATAATATTGATTGAATTTTTTCGGAATGTTAAGAATAAATGTAACAGATGGTTATCTCCATATAAATTTGTTAACAAAAGTTATTTTAATATGGAAACTGATTATTATAGATTGTGATGATATAATCTTCAAATCCAAACTGTTTTTTTCAATTTAAAATTAAAATATTAAGTTAGAATTATCTCCCTTAGAACACTGCAGCAAT